ATGAACAGTACAAAAACAAAAAATTTACAAAGTGTGTCTACTTACGTTCGTGTACCTAAGTATATTTGTAATGGATAACCGAAAAATCGATTGCCATTTGAATCAGGGCCACTTCCTCACCAACTAAATCTTCGTTTATGATTGACTGTTGAGTCCTTATATACAGTAGCTGCATATATCACAAACCTATCGTGTACATTGTTAGCAGGATTCACTTTATTGTGTATTATCATGTGTAGTTTTATTTGAACTTTCATTAAATACTAAATCATATTATTTTATGCATGCATATCTAATAGACGATTGCCGCATGTGTTTTTGTACTGCTAGCGCTTATTTGTATAATGATAATTATTATTAGATGTTATTGATCTTATCAACTATATTCGTGAGCACTGAGGTGTACCTACACATATAAAAGATTGCTTCATACAAAGAAGATATATATATATATATAATCTTCTTTGTATATATATAATAGTATTGTTCTCTGTCGATATTAGAGGGCAAATTCAACTCAAATAATTTCGTTCTCTATCGAGATCTAAGCAGAAAAGGGACGTAAAAGGGAAAAGGACTGAGCGAACCTAAATATTAGTAATAAGATGTCAGTGTAAATAAAAGTAGGCACTTGATGATTTTCTCGTGTTTGTAGATTTTCTTGTACACTACTGGAGCGTACATCGCTGCGTCTGAAAAAAGAGAACTGTTGAGACCTACAGCCCAGCAGTTAAAGGAATAATAACCCTTTAACCAGACGTACAATGGTAATCACTAAAAAATACGTCTTTTTATGGAGAGTGTCGTTAGTAACACATAGAAACACATTCAAACATGAATCTATACCTACACATGATGAAGACAAGCCGCAGCACAGAACCGAAGGAAATAGTTATGAGTAGTAATAATGACACAATCTATGGAGTAAAATATAGAAAAAGCCAAGTCACGTTGCTTTGATCCATTGACTTTACGTTGGCTATTTAGAAGCATGTAACCGTTTCTACAAGGAATAAACAAAAAACGTTGATTTTGATGACGGAACGAGCGATTTGATGTTTGTTTAGTAATAGATAATGAATATAAAATGCTAATTGAAATCGAAAAGACAAAGAGGTGATAGATTAATGAAATAATGGTGATTAATGACATATTAATTTATTACCGAAAATGATAGGGACTCATGTCGACTGGACTGTTGCAGTTCTTTACATTTGCCCACACACTGTACATACGAAAGTGTTCAGTAAATAGGATCTCCGTTTCGCAATCGTAATGTCGACGGCGATAATTCTAATATTAAGGATAATAATAGTGATGGTAATGAAAGTCGACCCTGCTGAACGCTATAATAAAGGAGTATATTATTCATTATAAAAGTGGTAAAAATAACTAGACGTAAAAAAATATAATGACAAAGGCAAAATGACACTAAACATTAAAACGAAATAAAAAAAATACTGATATCTATTTTGTATTGAGAAAAGGAGAAAATAATAAAGAGAGAGAGAGAGACCAAGAAAATAAACTTTAAAACACGTGTGACATTTAAAAGTTATTCAGTGTGTTCATTGTTATTACTTATATGAAGATGGACTTCCATCTGAGCTTCAACGGGCTGCCGTCTAAGTTCGAACTTCATTTCGCTCACATTCATTTGCTGCTACGTTTCATTTAATAATATTCTTTTGTAGCATATTGCTTGTATAATCGTTAACTGAGTTATACGCAGAGTGGATGACAGTGATTAATTATATTCACTATAACAATTTTAGCTGTCAGCGCGTGAATCGAGCGACAGTTTGGCCGGTTTGGCTGCACTGTTTCTGTGAACTTCTGCCAAATTTTTCTGATACAAGTAATATAATACCATACATTATTAATAACAACAATAACAATGGCAATAATGTAACAAAAAATATCATTCGTTCTTTTGTTATTAAATAGCTTTCCCTTATGTATAACGCGATGATGTTCACGACAAGCAAAGTGCCCGTTTTTCTGCTATGCGCTGATTGTGGATTACGCAGTTTTCTAAGATGTTCCTTTTTGCAGCGTAAAGATGATTCACGTTAAAGTGCTAAGTGAACTACTCATTATGAACGCGATGCTCATGAAGCTGTGATAGGCAGAATAGTGATTTACACAGATCTAACACAGTCAAATGACTGTGATTATGAGAATTCGCAAATCGATTTTGCTATAATCTGTGATGTCGATAACTTGGCAAAAATATATCCGGAGGGTTCACATTAAGAGACAAACGCGTAGTCCAGCGCTCGAGTTGACCTAGTAAGCTCTCAAGTGACAGAAACAAAAAACAACAACAACAAAACATGGCTAGTAGACAAGACTTTAACCATTCGTGCGCAAAGCTACTATATGTAGGTACGGCCGGCTTAAAAAATGAATTTTTGTTAGTATAAACGATGTTGTGATGTTCTTTATGCGTGAACAGAGTGCATTGTTTTTAGTTACACGTCAGCGGTCCTAAAAAAATCGAATTATAAATGCAATTACATGCAAGGCAACGAGCTACTTTCCCTGCTGAACATTTAGCTAAATCGTTTCCTGGTTTGAAGCAATTTGAAAGAAACGCTTTCACGTCAAGTAAAAGGATATATGGAAGAAATATCTATATATACATTATATCATTTATATAGGAAAGCTATAGCGTATTCCCTACAAACAAATGCGGTGACTTCGACCGTACTTTGCAGTCACTGATAAACAACAAAATATTTGGAACTACATGATTTCCTTTCCAGTGCTTTCCTTTACAGAAATTTGTTTTAACTTTTTCCTATCCAGGTGATTCCCTTACCGCTGAATTGCAAGTAGTTCTACCGCTCCGACGTTGCATTCGTTGTGCTTCTAAAAGGTTTAAAACAACCCAAGTTTTTTAAGCTCACGAACTATGCAACCATGTATTAGTATAAAATACAAACATTAACAAACAAAAACTAAACATATAAGCATTATCTGATACTTTTCCTTGCGTGATCTCGTTACGGTTGCATTTAATGAATCTACACTTCAACGTTTACATCCCTAATTAGCAGGGTAAAGTGTAACTTGATGCCATCCGAAGGAAGTGAGATTGCGTGTATAGATATGGCAAAAAACGTTATTCGATGTATTCGAGGTTACAGCTGCTTATCCTCAGCAAGTGACGGACAATCAGTTTGTATTTATGTCGAATTTTCAAATAACTACGAAATATATTTGTCGCCATGTTATTTCAATTTATCTGAACCACGGTGGTGGTTTTAGAAGCGGAAATATGAAACTTGTCATTAGTAAGTTCAAATGCATATCTAGCTGTGGCCAAAGCATGATGATGCAGCGGCTACAATAGGTTGATTTAGGGTGTAACATACCTTACGTCGGACATGACAAGCATTATTGACCGCCACAGCTGTTACACGCATTGCGAGCACCGAACATCGTTAATGATATATGTGCTATTTATAACTCGAAGAAATGTGACTATGACATTTAATATTGAACTGTTTTCAATTACAGATTAAACCAAGCTAAAGTAGACAAGCGTACATTTTTTTAGATACTTTTTCCGGCAAGCTTACATTATAATCATAACTATACGAATCGATTAATTATCAGAAGTAGGTTATATATACGAGAAATGATCAACTAACATATTACACAGGGTAACCTACACGAACTCAAAAAAATACTTGCAAATATGCTTTTCTTCGAGCGAGCGCACTGCCGACGAGTTCCTTTTTTACAATACTACCATCACTTTCCAGCAATAACACTCTTGACTTTATCTCCGTCTTAGCCTGGCCCTTATATGAGCACTAGTGTAAAGGCAGAACAAGAAATATTGATTCAAGTTGCAAATTTTTATTTATCTTTCTTTGTTTCTCATCAGTCTATTTTGGTGCACTTTGTATATATCGAAATCTCCGACTTCACTACTAACTTATATTTCTTTGAAAATATACTATTAAGTATACACCGAATTAACCTGTGGATTGTATGTCCACGATCTGTAAGAGGCATACTTCGAGTCATTTCTTACAAAATCTGACTTTATTCCTGTTACTGTTGATGGTGCGTTCATTAGTAGTATGTCATTATTATTATTAGAATTATTATTGTTATTATTATGTGAACCCAATCGTCATATGGGTTAATCTTGTAGTGAGGTCTCATACTCTTTGGCCTACTGTACACGGTGTAATTTAAAATAGTTTCAATGCTCTATGCACTTTCATCCCAAACGTTCGACCTATGTTGGACCTATGCTTATAGCAAATGTTGCTTCGTAGCCCGTTCTCACTCAGAAAAACGTTTCGCTTCCTCTTCATACAACAATCTTGCCTTCATCACCTCTATAAGGTATTTTCTTCTTATCTTTTTCGCCCTCTTCCATCACTTAACATTAAATATATGTGCATACATATATTCAGTGAATGTATGAATACAGCACAACATTCTTTTATGTGCAGTCAGTACCCATGTTGTCTAATGTCTATGGCTGCTTTTCCCTATGTACACAGCCTGTTGCGCTATGCTAACCCGCGTATGTTTTCTAGCTGTTCAGAGCACATTGAGACGCGCCTCGTAATGATTATTTCTATCTGGGTTTGTGTCGCTGCTATCTTCGGCGTCACCTAAAAGACCGTTTTGGCAATAAGGTATCCAACCGCGATAAGTATAAGAGACATGACAATCACGCTTGTCGTCGAGGCATCTGCAAACGGATCGGGGGGGGTGTCTGTGAAGGACTGCGAATTTCCTGACCGAGTATCACTTGGTACGGATCCCCCTGACTGATGTAACCGATGGCTATCTTCCCGCAGGGTGATGTTCTGTCTTCTAAGAGCAAGGTTCTCGTCTTGTAATCGACGTAGTTCGGCATTGAAAGCGGCCTCGAGCTGCTGCTGCGGCTGCTGTAACGGGACTTCGACAATTTTCTTCGGAGGTTCACCCCATGGTTGCGATTGGGACGAAGAATGCGACTCTTTGCTCTCAAACGTCTCAAGAACACAGCGAAGCTTTGCTTCCATTATCTTGTTAGGCTCAGCGTTCTTCCATAATGTCTCATGATTGACACTCGTAGGATTCTCTATATTCATCGATTGTACCAGAAACTTATGTCTCTGTGTGTCATTAGGATCGTAATGGACCGGCTGCAAAATGACCGCAACATCTGTATAGGACTGCGGCTTGATTTCGCCGCAAGTGGGCCTCACACAGTATTTCTTGGGGGCAGTGGTCTTCACCTTAAAACAGATCCACTTGTTTGATGGATTCGTGAGACGCATTATTGCCTGAGTGGGCTCGTGGAACGGGCCCCGAAATCGCAGTTCATGTTTGGGCTCAAGTTGAAGAATGTTTTCCATTTTATTTGCTGATAAATACAATAGAATGAGTTTACCCTATAAACAACTAAAACAACGAATTCACCCTAGTGAGTGTTCTAAAGCTAATAATACGCACAGCAGGACCGATTGTTTAAAGGAACCGAGCTTGAAGAGTCAACAACAAAGTGTAACGGAACGACAACAACAGGTGGAATAACTCAATAAAAACTGCGTAGCAACGACAACACGCGGTGTGCTGCGCCCACGACGAGAATTGGTTTCGTCCGTTCGCACACTTTTACTCGTTGTTGCTTTTACTGCGGGTTAAAACAAAAAAATTCGACTGCAGCTGAGTGATCGGTGTAGTTGCAGCAGCTCTCGGTTCAGACGCGACAGCACAACCAATCACAAACTGACAAACACAGTGCAGCAGAACAGAGCTTGCGTTTAACCAAGCAAGCGGACGGGCAATCTAGTCTTCGGACAGTAGTGGCAGACACCTCAGCCTCCTCGCAGTTGTAGTCGAGCAAAAGGAAGGTATCGTTCACAACCTTCACGACAATAACATCAACAACAAGACGTGAAATCGTAGCAACAGAGCTACGGCAGTCGTGGCAGTAGCAGCGGCGGTAGCTAAAATGTCTCTGCTCTCAAGCGCAGACAGACAGCCAGTCAGGCAAATATGGTCGTATAAACAGCTACAACTACGGGACGCCAGACGATCGATTGAGTAAAAAGAATGCGAAAAGTAGGTTACGCGACTTACTTCAGAGGGGCACTGACGTCTCAAGACCGCATAGCTGAACGGAATCAGAAAAAAGGAAAAGGTCTGAAAGGCCATGAAGAGGCGAGTAATGTAATACTCACCAACTGGCACAATGGATACAGATAAAAAAAAAACCCTGGGTGCCCCTCTATGGTAAATAATAACAACGGAAAGACGGAAAGACTCTGAAATAATGCCATGAGCCCGTCATGTCTTCAAGACTCTTTTGAGGAATCGCGAGTTAGTGGAGATTTCTATCCAGTCGAATTGATGAACAACTGAGGTCCGCAACCACTATAAAGACTATCTGACAGGAACAGTTCAGAGTGTATTAGCCGTGATCCAGCGCATTTTTCCACGTCTCCAAAAAAAGGACGGTGCATCAACTTCGGCTACCGTCTCGTCGAGTAGTTATTTTTCCAGAGCTGACGAGAAGCAAGTGCTGTCGAGCAGCTCCCTACATTCCTATATCGTTTTGATCCCGTGCTCCTGTGCCAGTTTTGTAGTACTTCGTGAATTACTGTGCATGTACAAAGCGCGAAACCGGTTTGTAAGTCTCTAGCATTCATTTTCATTCTTCATATATCCCCTTGTATTATTCGATTCAAACAATAATTTAGAATCTCACTTAAACTCTGCTGAACTGAACATGACTTGGCGGACTTCGCGAACACGTCCCTAACCTCTTTTCCCCGTTTGCGCAATAATCGGTTGCGACATGACCTCCCATAGTACTTGTACATACATGTGTGGTGAATACAGTTGTGTTTGCACGGTCTCCACTGGGTTTAAATCAGCCCGCCAAATCTAGCCCGACGTCGTCCGCCAGCCTGTTGGGGTTGTCGTCTATCTCGCCCTTCTCTCACGCTCTGTCTGCTAAAGTTGCAGTAGTTGCCTAGAGTGGTAGTGCAATGGCTGCGGAGGCAGCAGCGACGGCAGTGTGCGGCCTGGACTCTTTGTCTTTGTGCCCGTAGCACATTACACCGCGTAGGCCCCGCCAGAGGGCGGCCTATGTTACCCCTGTATTGCGAAGAAATCTGCGCGACCGCTGCTCTTGCTGCGCAGCAAACGCCTGCTTTCTCGGTGGTAGGGCTTTGCCGAACCTTACGCGTTGGGAAAGCCGCCTGTCAACTGCCCGAGCCCTTCTGTTGTATCGAATTCCATAAACTAGTAGGAACTTGTGGTTGAGCGGCAAGTTAAACGATTGTTTGTTTGTCCGCTCGTTCATTTATACCATAAACATAGAAAGAGAAGAAAGGGTGGATCAGCTGTGCTGTCGCTTTGAACCTTTCTGTGTGTCATAAGTGAGGCAGCGCTAGTTGTAGTGTTGGTTACTGGTTTTAGGACTGTTGCGGCTGCTATAGCTACTACTTTCATCGGTTGTGGTGTGGCGGCGGCCGTGTAGGTCTGTCTGTCTGCCCTCAATCCGTACATCATTGTGCCGTGCCTGCCTGAACGGGTGTCCGTCTGCCCGTCCGCTGTCTGTTTCGTTCGGCTGCTGCTGCTACACACTACTCAGCCTCTAGGAAAACTTTTGGCATTGCTAACTGCATATTGCTATCTGTCTCAACATAGTAGTGCAGTGCGTTTGCTGTTGTTGCAGCTGCAGCGGCCGAGAGCGTTAAAGCGTCGTCGTCTATGTGTCAACCCAATATTTGCTCGTTACTAGAAAGGTTCTCGCTTACGAGATAACCAACGGACATCAAATACACCACCAGAAAGGTAGTCTGGAACAACAACAACCGCGGTAGTGAACGAGCACACATACCCAGTATATATCAGTTTGGAACTGCGTGCGAATATTACAATTGCGTGCGATTATTTCATCCCGTTTTTATCGGCGTGTGAATCGGCTCAGTCTATAGGTAGCCAAAGACCATAACGCGGCATTGATCAAAACAATTACCTCCCACCCGGTCTAAGTTGGTATTGACAGTGGTCTTAGCTAATATCATCAGTTCAAGCTTTGCCTGATTCCTCGACTTCCTGCTTGTTGCCTTTCGAAAGGCTCGAGCCTGTCGAGCCGACCATGACGCACGTTGATACGGAGGATGAGCTCCGTCGGAGGAACGTAGCCTCAAGCGATTCAGAACGAGATGAACCGTTGGAACAGCCAAGGGTATGACCAATTGGATTCAGTTAAATCAATTCTTTCGTTTAGCTAGTACGGTATCATTATAAAAAATATTGCATATAAACGGGGACTAAACTATGTTGCGAGAGTGCTTCATCTATTGAAAATAACAATTTTGTGTAATTCAGCAGTTTATCTATTATTAGGCAATAGTGTAGTATTGGTGGTTACATTTATCTATTACCCATCATCAAAGAGACAAGGATACGAAAAGAATTAGTGCTTATTGCCAGTTGAGTGGACAGCGAAATGTACATTACCTAGAAAGGACTTCTGACAGTGTGGGGAGAAATCGCAAATAATGTGCGTAGAAAAGGTCGTCGCGCTTTTTTGTACTTTCGTTTTGTTTATGTCACTAGGAGCGGTGCACGTTTTTAATGTTATTTATGTACGCGTCTTCGGTTAATGCATTAGCCTGTAATAGCCCGCCCTATCAATAATTATATGTACGCCCCTTCTAACCCATCATACTAATTATTCATAGCAAAAATGCAAACTGTACTTTGTTTGCTTATTGTTGTTTTTATTATAACACACACGCACACTAAATGAGTTTTGCGACGACTGGCAATTTCCATTGGATCTCTTACGGATCACTTCTGTCCCGTAAGACGTTGATCGCTAGCAATCATCAAGTATCAGCACACAACCGAATACCGTCAGTATGATGTATAGAAAACGTCTCTTATATTATCCACGTAATTGTCAAAAACGAAACGGTTAGTTAATTAATTCTGCGCACGTGCGATGTACATCCTGTCTGATGCTCTGCACAGGCGCTTGGCCATTTTATCATTATTACTAATCAGCGTCGAAAAAGACGGCTGATTCGATTTTCTTGGCTATGTTTCATCTGACAGAGTACCAAATAAATGCGATCAGTGATAGTCATCAGTGCAAACACTCGCTTGTGTATAGACGCCCGGCCATTGCTCAGTCTCTGCATTGCTGAATCACTGGTGGTACTAGTCAAAAGTGCCAATCAATCATGATCGACATATAATGCAACGTGTTGGCTTGTATTGTTCACATGGGATTGGATGTTTTCTATCAAGCCAACACCATCTGTTCTGCAATATTGCTCGATCTTTTGTTAGTCATTACGTGCTGAACAACTGTCCACTACCATATAACCAGTGGCTTTTCCTTATTGCGGAACAGGCATATTTCGTTGGGAATATGAGACATTTGGGAAAATTTTCTAAACGTTATACTCTTTTTTCCATGTTTATCATTGCTTTGTGCCATCGTCATAACGTGGTATTATTTCGTCTAATTAGTTTCAATTTTACCGCTGTTTTTTTTTTGAAAGTAAAGTTTGAGATTGTTGCCAATCAGGAGACTGAGATTGTTTACCAAAAATCCACTTCCTTTTAGTAAATTCTAGATGTGCACTCCTCTTTCCTAAGTTGGTTTTGAAGTAGAAAGGCCTGATCTAAGCTAAGTGGTTGAGATGGCCCGGCATAGGCGCCTGCACTTAGCCGCGAAGTGCAGTTAGGATTGCTGCCTTTGCAGGATGTGGATACCTCTCCACCTACCAAACCTTGTCCACAGGTACTTATCCTTCTAAATGATTTTTCTTAATTTAGGAAATACTGAAGGGTCGCTCAAGTGGGCGACTTTCCAAGAAGCTTTGACCAGGTGGATCATGACCTATCGACCGAAACAGAGGAGACTATTAATGTGCTGTTGATAAGCGGACATTAAAGTGATGTTCTGTTGTGGTTATTCGGCCGCTTTTGTTAATAATAAACGGTTTTTCTGACTCACATAATAAAACAAACGGGAGACAATCCAAGTAATATTTTTATTAATCAATCGTATATAAACCTACACAATATATAAATAGGAATATATATATTCTTATTTAACCAATCTCAAGTGAAAAGGTCTTTCAGATTTTTAAATTCGATAACAAAAAGAATAATAAAATGAGTAGCTTGTCCCCCAAAAAATTCCTTAGAATTTTATTTAGTGTATATGTATCATCAAATCAACTGCAGTTAGTCAACATTTTTTAAAAAGACACTGACGTTTGGTATGAAATTGTTTTTTTTAGTGCGTCTTCGTTTATGCAATTATTCGTTTATGCAGAGTTACATTAGTTTAACTTGATGCATGTTTCAAATCGCATTCAATTTAAGTAGACTTATAGTTTAAACAACGCCTTTTAACTTCTCTCAACATAAGGCGTTTTCGTTACATAGATATGGGTACTACTCACGTTATTTAAATAGATTTGAAAATTAAAGAACATTTTTCAAGATGTCTAACCACTAACAGAGCGTCATTTGTAAGTGATAATAAGGCCACTTACGCTCCCAGTGATTTTATTTTATTGTTGACAACCTTTAATTAGTTACTGTGACTTTGCTTGATTATTGCGATTTTTTTCTGCTATCGGTCGAATAGAGCGGCAGTTACAATATGACAATTGAAAACTTTGGATCCTTCATATCAAGATAAAGCGTTCTTTTACCTAAAAATTCCTGCTTGACTCTCTCCGGTTTGCACTATGTATTTTTGTGCAAAATGAAGAGCAATATCCAAATCATACGGCCAAATCGTGAAAGTTAACCGATTAAGTAGAGAAACGAACTAAGCGGTTCAGTAAATATATAAACAATTCTTGCAGAAATTCGCTTACAGACGTATAGGGCGAGGAAACACTATTCAGTCCTTGAGACCTCGACTCAAAGTGTTAAAGTACGATCACAGGGAGCATGAGATAGTAATAAGAGACAAAAGACCAACCTGTTTTATTAGACTTAAACAGGACACCTGTATTAGTGTGCATGTATGTAGGTTACATGTCAGCGGTTTTCAAAGCCAGTCTCAGGGTATCAAGTTACTTAATAGAAACGACAGAGCTGGTTTGTAGTTTCGCCAATATACTGTTGTTTTAATAGTAACAAACGTTTTTATTTCTTGTTATAGCTTCATCCTGCGCTGCAACGAGTTGGTGTAAGTTTATAATTGTCGCTACGAATTTTATCTCCCAAATGAATACCTACATGCACCTTTCTTTATAAGTAGCACAATAGCATGCGTTATGTTCAATAATAGTATACGCAATTTTTCTATTCGATAACTTTTGCGGTGCTCAAGTTTAGATTCAAACCGGAATTTTCTTTTTTAGCTCTATTCCGCCTATTGTCTTCTGTAATTGCTGCGTTATGATCAGTATGTATTCTTGCATGAAGATTCAACATATTGTACTTTCTGCACGAGCACGCTGTTTCGACCATGAATAGGATTTATCGAGTAGTAACAATAGCAGTAGAGTGCCCATTTATTATAAAGTATGATGAAGGGTGATTAACATTCTTTGTATACTATATGCTTGGTGTCATAGAAAGGATAATACGCGATAAATGTTTCGTCAATGAGTCGACTTCACTAATCTCAATTTGATCATTACTTTCAGTCATGAGCACATTTGGTGTAATATGTACAGTAGCCCACAACTAAGCTTTCGGCAGCAGTGCGCTTTAAGGCGAATTGAAGGCGTGAGCAATTTATAATTATGTTCGTCATTACGGTGATTTTGCAACTGGATTTTTATAGCGAGAGCCGGAAATGTCAACATTTTATTCGAATTTAATGATTGAATTCTGGTCAGAGAACAACGAAGCTCCATGTGTTAGAGCTACTTAAATGATAATGTATTTGGGGTGGTAGGTGGTCTTCAACGAACCTTCGAACTCAAAGGGTAGCGGCTTCTCAACAGTAATGATAGAGTTGATCATTATGTGTTCATACGAAAAGTTTAAAGCTAAAATGTTTTGAAGTTTACGTCCGCTACTGCCGGCTAGAGTACGTGAAGACGACTGGCTCCCCGTACGAAATGGAAGTATTTCTACGGTAAGCTTCTATGATACAAAATTCTATGATGGGGACTAGTATTGGTAGTAATAAGCGACAATTAGCGTCATACGTCAATAACGTGAAGGAGGTTTCGAGAGTTATCGGACTGATGGGAAGCAATTCGGATGTTGGGATGCGGAAGCTGGATTCTAGACGACGTTGTGTACTAACTCGAAGCAATGTCGGAATAAATACTGCGGACCAGCTTAATTTTCGCGTATTTCACAAAAACTGGATTATTTCGAAGATTGTTTAATGTATTATGTATTTGAAGGATCAAACTATTGTTTGGAGATTACGATTACTCGTTATAATGCACCAGCTACCTGCTGCTCGTTTGCTTTCGACCGAAAGAATGTTATGAATTTTCTAGATTAGGAAAGATGATAAAGACGGGTTGTAAAAAGCTCATATGACAACAACCAGAATTTGCTACAAGTATGCCAATGAATTTCGTAGATTATTCTGAAATTAAATTTCACAATCTACGGAAATACTGCAGACATGGATGGCATAAGTTACTAAAAATTTCTTTGTTTAACTGAATTCGTAGAGGGTAATCATTTGCACGGAAGCTAAAGTATAGTGGAAACGTTGTTTTTATTCAATCACTATTTTTTTGAGAAACGCTTTCGGCTATTTCTAGTGTGCAAACAAATCCTTAAAATCCCCTCTTTCGAATGGAATTAGGGGCTTGCCGCACTGGACAGTTAAACTGGCACGAGTTCTACATGATCCATCTAGGGTTTTCTCTACAGTCCTATGAAAAGGCATAATAACTGTATGTCGTACTCCCCATTTGCGAATGCTGACATTTGTACCAGCGAGGGCTATGTAATCATATTCACTAACAATACACTCAGGAAGACACGCGTTAGTACTAGCATCCAATCACCATTACTTCTGCATTGTGGCAACAAGGCACAAATCAACTGAAGTGAAGGGAAAATCTTTTTATGTAACATTGTTGTTATCGAACATTAGATGCGTAACCTTACACACATTAACTAGTACATGCCTATAACGTGTAATTCCTATGTTCAGATCTTATTTTAATGAACGAACAATTGTTAGCTGTATGTGATTTTTTTTTTAAATTCTTTTTTTGAGCACTTTGTTTGTTTTTACTCTTTGGGAATACAGTGCGCCACGTCTACGGATTTCATGTTCTTTACATATTGCGGTATTGTCAGTGATGAGTCCCCAGTATGTGTTTGAATCGACCTATGTTGCACTTTACTTAGTAATTCACTGAGCTTTACCAGATCAAAACTGTGGTGTCGAGTCTTACTCTTCATGCATATATGCTATCATTTAAATAATAATTCTGATCTAATTCGTCTCATTATTTATTGTTGATTCTTAATTTGGTTGGTATGCCTGATTGGTTCTCCGATACCTCGACCCATTGCCCAGTCGGCTGACCGAAAGGATTCGGATTTGTCGGAAGATGAAAAACTACCGGAAGAGCGTATGATCGAGCAGATGACTCGAGATTTGCCCCAAGGAAGCGATAAAGTGCCGTTCCTGGATGAATGGCTAGCAGGAGTCCCTGACAGGTATGTGAATTGGATTACACCTTTAGGAAATATGGTACATATGCTGCGAAGATTATTAATTTCGTACTTGAAGCTATCCGTTTTTTATATCCATAATAGGTCAATATTTCAATTCTCAAATAATCATGATATGAAAGGGAGGTAAATTTCATAATGTCTTAGTGAGCATTTCCAACGTAATCGTTTTCAAAATTTTGTCCACCTCTAAGCACAGACTTGTTCCGTGAGATGCGGTTCCTACGCTGGAGGATAGTATTTCAGTCTATTAGATAGTTTTACTAAAACTAGCTAATAGACTTTATTTTTATTCTCATTGGCTCCGTACACATGAATTTAAGAATTCCTAGTTTTTGCTACGAAATACCTAAAAATTTACAAGTAGCATGCATGATTTGTTCAGTTAAAATGCATTGATCGAAGTTCCATGTTATCGACTCAGCTCGAAGTCCTGCATAGTAGGAATACTTACAATAATGTGGGATCAGTCGCTTCGATTTTCAACAGTATACTTTTCTATGGGAAGGCTTTATAGCATTTTCCGCACGCTAATGTGCCACACATGCTATCAACATTACGTATGTAGCTAATAGTGTGCTGATCGGTAATAATACGTGTTATTTGTCGTTCTTTGTAATTTTCAAAGGTATAGTCTAGTTCTAAGTTAAATGTCTGGAAGTTAGGAAACGCGTCAGTTTCATTGGCTCAGTTGTTGTCTCTTTCTCAAATGTTGTGTCAAGAAGTTATAGTGAGAAGGCAAGCTATGGTGATATTGTGTGTTAGGCACGTGAATGATGCTTTGCCTACTGACGCCAATCAGGGGTGAGTGGGCAGATATTACCATTAGTGCGATCTCTACTGTTGCTGCTATTGCTTTGTCAGCTTTTGCATGACCATCCGCTTGCGTAAACGAGTGTGTAACAGCGAAACGGAAAAGAAGTGCAACATTTTTTACGAAAATTATTCACATTGTTATTATTCGAGAACATAGGTTCACTCATGTAATACAATAATAATAACATAGGTTCAGATTCATAATGTCGGCCGTATGAGTGTTTTGAAAATGGTCAAAGAAGATCAGATTCTTCCACACAATGTGTTCACAAAAGAAAAACTTGGCACTATTTAAAACATCATTCGAATTTGTGCGATAAATATCCATGGGAATTTTGAGTATCAAGGTAAATGTTGGAAATAGACAGAACCAAGTAATTTTAGAAGGTGAGAATAGAATTGAAAAGGGATTGAGAATTCGGCGGAAATTATTTAAGGAATGCTGAAGTCTATCAGGGCCGGACCAAGTCGATCTGCGTGCCAGTATTATAGAATAGGCATAAACGCCTTTTTATTTGATAGAACTATGTCAGTTTGCGCTATGTTGGGAGTCTTAATTTACTTAACACAATTAGTATCCACTCTGTCCCGCGAACAATTAAGCATCCCCTTATATTCGACCGCGCTTCGACGTGTTTGCCTTTTAGACGTTGCCCATAACGCAAGTTTAAGGTCCTTAGACAATACCATATGATTTCTGCTATAGTGTATGGCTGTAGTTCGTCTTGATATCTATAGGGTAATACAAAAAAACGCGTTTGACACGGCCATCGTGCTATGATGGCCTGTCGGTTCTGGCGCAAAGTGGTTAACACACGGTCGACAATTACGACAATAGGACGATTGATGTCTTTAAACGCCTTCAGACAATTTTTTGCATTTACCTGTACTTGCAGTTCCTTGTATTTGTACACTCTTAAGCTAATTCAGTTGACACTCGCAGTCAGCGCTTTATATCGCAAAGCGAAATATATTTGTCGTATATCCTTATTATTGTTATTGTTGCAGAAATACATGTATTAAGAATTAGTAGCACACTGAGTACGCATTCTAATAAGTGCGTGGACTGGAGGTCTACTTGTAACACACTCACATGCTGAATAAACTACAGTATTTGTACCACAAAACAATAAACACACGACGAGATAATAGTATAATAATTTACAGATTTCCAGGTATCTGTGTTTATGAAACTAGTCTTATTATTTAATTATAGTGAAATATTGGGAGTCAAAAGAGCTTTATGAAAACTAAAGGAAAATTTTAAGATATACACCTGAAAATCAGTGTTATCTGGTTACGCCGCTCAGTGAGTTGTCATGTTTAGAGGCAACATTAACGTCATTCATTAATTTTTCAACACTGGCACGGTAGTAATTCGTCGTTTTTTAGACGACTTATCTGAACAAAGCCTTACCTTCTAACGAAGCAGTACACTTCCTTATTCAGTATATGAACTAAGGAAAAGGTGGTTGTTTATTTAGAACTAGTGATTTAATTGGCTACGAAACGTAACGTGCTTATGAAGCTTGCTTAGTTGTTCTAATAACTACAGGAACGGTTTGATTATGGCCCCACAGAATTCGTTGTATGGAAAAAAGTCCAGTATTCAACATTCAAAGCAAGGGTTAATTCTGGAATTGGAAAGTTGATTCTGTTCTGTAAGTTAGTCGGGTGCTCCGTCTATTTAGTATGAAATGTCACGTACTTTTTTTAATGTTATCTTTTGATCCAGCTTAAGCGTTGTTTCAGCCTCCGCTAGCTGTTTTAATCTGCTCCCGTCTCACTACCCTGTGGGGTCTTTTCTGATGTTGGTATCATCGGTGTACAAGATCAGAAGCACGCCGTTAAATGGAGATTTTCAGTAGTGACATTTGGCGTGCGAGACAAAGACTGCAGTTATTAAAGGAAAAGATCCTTAATCGATAGAAATGCTACTGGCAATGGAGCGTTGAAGTGGGGCCTGAAATGCAGCCTTTAGCGAATGACTCGGAACATAACCATGGACATGTTCAAGCAGCACTTCATATAGACTATCATTACCCGAAATCCGATTATAATAAATATGGCAGATGTTCGCGATACATTACAGTTACTGTATACTAGCATACAGGCTACGTAAACAAGATCTGAGATACGATGAACATATCTGCTGCACAGTATAAGAATTCGAGTAGACGGTGATAATTGCACTACATGCTTTTGACGTGTCTCTGTTGTGTTACCTGTAAAGCAGTTTGCCCAACTGGCTTAAATTTGTGCTTGATAACTCATGAATTGGGTGTCTTTGTCATCAGTCAATCAGAATTGTCTACTCAAGATTTCATAAGAGCTCCATGTGACTCTGTCTTCGCTAGGCGCTTTCCGTAAGTGATTACGTTACTCTGCTTGTTGATAATCACCCATGAACACAATTTAATCTTCATATGTGAACTAATACCAAACTAAACAACAGATATATCCGGCAAATACGATAGAAATGTATTTGGGTATTTATCATGATGTGGCGCATTCATTGGCTTTATCTAGGAAGCACGAAGCTTTTTCGAACACGGATTTCACACATTATTAAAAGAGGACCGTTCTTTGTTTTTTTTTTTCATAACTTGTTGGACAGATATCGCAATGGTATCGTGCGGTTCATCTTTACCTGGGTGATGATCGGAGCCTTCGCTTTGATTGTCTGGAGAGGACCGATCATGATCATGGTACTCGTAAGTATCAGTGATATCGTCCATTACGTTAAAATCATACACACTTTTTTACTATTTGATCATTTTATGATAAAGACGCTAGGTTCCGCAGCAACTACAAGCATCTTACAAATCACGACTCACCAGGATATAGGTTTTTGTCAAGCATACTTACGTGTTTTCTATAGTGCTAACCTGTTATCAATCATTCTATACACAGATCCTTGGAATTCAGGTCAAATGTTATCATGAGATAATTTCAATTGGCTACGCGGTCTATAGAGTACACAACCTACCGTGGTTCCGATCGCTGTCATGGTACTTCCTCGTAACGTCTAACTATTTCCTTTATGGAGAGAGCCTCGTTGACTATTTCGCAATCTTCGGAAGTAGAGCCCGTGCGTTAACGTTCCTAGTCACATACCACAGGTAACTACCATTGCAAAAATTACTAAATAAAAAATTTTCCTAACATAAAATACGATGCGCTTAAAAGGGTAAGAGGATTTTGATCAAACTTATGGTCGCTTCAGGCGAGTTGAAATTCTAAATACTGATTTAATGCGAAAGCTGTAACTCTGGAAGATTTCAGGATTACCTGCTTAAAATTTGCTCTTTTCTATAATTTAGCTAAAGCTTATTTGTAGCGTATGGAAAAAGAAATATAGTCTTATTAAATAGTTAACGTGCTATGCCAGCATTTAAAATAAATTTGTTCTCTAAAGTTTCCTTGTGTGCTCTACATTTGGTAGTGTCTGACATCCTTCATATTAACTTCGTATCTAGTAAAAAGATTTTTTGTACTGTCGCTGTAAACTATACAATGTCTTTGATTAGATTCATCTCGTTCTGTCTGTACATCACGGGCTTCGTCTGGTTCGTTCTGTCGCTCGTCAAGAAATATTATATGAGGCAATTTTCTCTCTTTGCGTGGACTCATGTGACGCTGCTCATCATAGTCACGCAGTCCTACCTTATTCTGCAGAATCTTTTCGAGGGACTTATTTGGTAAGTACAAATTATCGTTATATCATGGTCAACACCACACGTTTGTGTGGCTGTTAACTCCGAGTACGAACTTCACCCTGTTACATTACTTATGATGGGGAGCATAGTAAAAAGAATTTGCTTTGCCTTAGGTATAGACTGTCCTTGTGGTTCTTTGCACAGCCATCGCTTTTTGAGAACGCTGAATGTAAGAATATACAATGTAATGCACTACTCAAATGTGTTTTGATGTATCGATACCACTGAGTTTGGCGCAAACTATAAATGAAGTTTCAATTTCTGATACTTAAAAACTAAGCAATCTCTTATTTTTGTCTCACCTTACACTTTTTTGTTTATATGATTCATAGGTTTATTGTTCCAGTCTCGATGATCATAACGAATGACGTGATGGCCTACGTTTTTGGCTTCTTTTTGGGTAAAACCCCCTTGATCAAGCTGAGTCCAAAAAAGACATGGGAGGGCTTCATTGGTGGCGGTATCTCAACGGTGATATTCGGAGCATTGTTGTCGCACATGCTTTGTGGCGTTCGCTACTTCGTCTGTCCACTCGATCCGACCTCGGATTCGACAACACTAGACTGCGAACCGTCACCCATATTCCAGCTGACAGAGTATACACTGCCCGGATGGATGAGCATCTTTTCGAGAGTGGTGAGACAAATGAATGATACAGTTCGATATTATGCACGAAAGGGGCTCGACTAGTGCTGAGCAGACGAGTGATATGGGCAATATCATTTTAAAATACCTTATATTACTCTCAATACTTAAATTAAACCTCCAAAGATGTACTTGAGTTTAATATGGGCCGAGAAATAGAGCCGGCTCTAGAGAGAGAGAGAGAGAGAAGAGAGCCGGCTATAGAGAAGAATTGTAAACTGGAATTTGCCTCGATCTCAAAAAAGTGTTAACTAAAGTACGAAAATCAGCGCACTACATTATCTGCTATGTAAGATTCATTATCTGAATGTTGTTAATTGTTCACTAATAGCATCATTCCAGCTTATGTATTAAGTTATGTACTACTGCTTGATTCTTTGTTTCGTTATTCGTTGTTTTTAATTCTGCAGCTTCGGCTCAAGGTAACAAGCTACCCGTTCGTGCTACATTCGATTGCGTTATCACTCTTCAGCTCAATCATTGGCCCCTTCGGAGGGTTCTTTGCCAGTGGATTTAAACGTGCTTTCAAGATTAAGGACTTCGGCGACGTAATTCCGGGCCACGGAGGCATTGTTGATCGCTTTGACTGTCAGATACTCATGGCGACATTTGTTAACGTCTATTATCACTCCTTCATTCGGTAAGTTCACACTCCTTTGATTTGTGAACTGTTGTTCAGATTGTTCAGATGGCAATGTAAGCAAGAGGATGGTACCCTATGAGATATCCTTGCGAGAAGGCTGGAAAAATTGAATTCATGTTTTGATTTCTTATGGTAGCTATACAATTGTATAGAAATGCGCAATTAGTTAAAATTGTTTTTTGTGACTATTTTTATATAGATATATGCAAAAGTATATCTATGAGACTCTTATATCCCAGGACATCAGCTGTTATGCTGCCAATTAGTATCCAGTTTACATGCCATATGTTCAGCAAATTTTAAAATATTCGTAAAATATTGAGAAACACGCGCAAATGATGCTATTCAAGAATCTGAGATATCACCTGAGCTGAAAGACACGAGACACCTTGCGTATTAGGAGAACAAGTTAGATGCGTTCCTGTCTTGAGCGTTATACTCAAGACTATTTCGAATTCATTAGACTGGACTAACTATTTTGCTGGTTTAACAGGGCTCCTGATCCGAAAAAATTGCTCGCACAAATTCTACTTCTCAAACCGGAATTGCAACAGCAGCTATTTAATTCACTGCGAGAGATACTGGTCGAAAGAGGCGCTATTACTGAAGCAACGGTCGACCTTCCAATCACGGAGAGTCAGTGAAAGAGAAGTTACAGCGTGACATGTTACCAACTGCACGGCAAAACAGCCCTATCATCATCGGAGAACTCTGGACTCCTTTGTATGGAATCGACGGCCGGTTGAACTGACTAAAGAGAAAATAATCACTTCCACATGACTTATGATCGAAACGAGAAATTAGCTGTATTGCTCGAGCGGAATGCTGAATGTGCACCGCAGTGAGTCGAAAGTATGTTGTAGACTGATTTATTCAGAAGCGACATCAGCTGAACTTAGCGAAGTGGTAGTTCCAGAAGGCAATAATCGAAATTGAGTCACTAAAAACATAGTCGACTTCCTCCATAATATAGACTAAGAAACGAAGGGCATGATTCCATTTGCCAATTCGATTTTTCTGTTTCATTTGAATGAAAGGTGAGACACGGAAGAAAGATGCTCGAATAATAGTTGCATACGGCTGTTATAGGATGTTATGAGCCACGGCTGAACGGCATTAACTAGATTATTAATAGAGTTCGGCAGAAAACCCGAGGAGTAATAAGCAGAAAGTCATCTTGGGGCGTCTTCAGTAGGTGTTAGCAGTATTTGAAATGTACACGCCCGCGCGAATTGCAGAACAAATCGTTATCCATATCTATAAACTCAGTGTCAAGTTTCTAATTTGTTCACTTTTATATATATATATATATATATATCTGCTACCATATACATTAAAACGATTCATATTCATAGTAGGGAAATTAACAGTACAGCGACGTGTGTTCTTGTCATCTCTCAAACCTGTGTACGCGCGCAACATTAAACATTGTACTAAACGCTACTAATGGTAGCAAATGGATTAAGGCAAGGGCAACGGGAGCAAGTAATCTCTATAATTTGTATAGAACATGTTAGAAAAAAGCACATTGAAAGAAAGGGCGAACACTGACGTTTATTGAGGGTTGTGGACAGCCAAACCCGAACACAGGGCGTTGAGTGAATCTATATGATCGGCGTTGAACACCGCTGGTCGTCTTACAATCGAAACGCAGTCTTGAGAAATACGCGTTGTTGTGGAGAAGATCTCACCATACTACATTTTCATAATCTCCGTAGCCACAGTTGATGATGGCGCTAATAATAATGGGGATGATGATGATATATAGTAGCTATATCGTGTGGTGTCGTAGTATAATAGCAGATATATATA